GGCCACTGCGGCGATGCGCGTCGGTTCTGACCGCGCAAAGAAGGCAACGGCCCAGCTTCTGAAGCAGGAGTATGCCAACCTCAAGTTCAAGGATGGTGAATTGGTGGAGGACTTCTCCCTCTGCCTACAGACGCTCATCAGTAAGCTGAAAAGCCACGATGTCACAATCGACGAAGAGGAGGCGATCTCCAAGTATCTCCACTCCGTGCCGGCAAAGTACATCCAGATCGCTCTCTCCATAGAGATGATGCTGGACTTGTCCACCCTCACCATTGAGAATGTGATAGGCCATCTACGGGCGGTGGATGAGTGCCTAGAGCAGGCGACAACAACGAAGGACAGCGGCAAACCGCTGCTGACAGAAGAGGAGTGGGCTACTCGTAGGAACTCTGAGGTAGCGTCCTCCAGCCTCGGTGGCGATGGCAAGCGCCGCAACAAGGCTTCTTCGGTGAAGAAGAAGCAGGTCAACCCCAACGCCTGCCGGCGCTATGGTAAGACGGGCCATTGGGCACGGGAGTACCCAAATCGCAAACAGGAGAAGAAGGCTAAGGCTCATCTGGCGCAAGCTGATGATGAGCATGAGGCCACTATCCTGATGGTGATGTTCTGTGCACTGCACGACGTCGAGGCCGAGAGAAGGGAGAGGTGACGGTGGTGGAAGGGCCTAGGAAGGTCCTGAAAGCTGTCAACCTCGATGAACCGCGCGCCCAAGTCCACCTCAGATGTATGGGCAGCGAGCAGGAGCAGCGGTGGTATCTAGACTCCGGTGCCAGCAACCACATGACGGGCTCCAAGGTAGCCTTCTCTGAGCTCGACGATGATGTTACCGGTACGGTGAAGTTTGGTGACAGCTCAAGGGGGGGAATCCAAGGGCATGACACCATCATCTTCAGGTGCCAGAACAGGGAGCACCACGTGCTAACGAATGTATATTACACCCCATAGCTGCGTTCAAGCATCATCAGCATTGGCTAGCTGGATGAGCGTGGGAGCGAGGTACTGATCAAGGACGGTGTACTTAGGATTAGGGACCGGGAGCAGAGACTTCTTGCCAAGGTAAAGAGGTCATAGAACCGGTTGTACCTGCTCAACTTGAAGGTGGAGCAGCTAGTGTGCCTGGCAGCACGGCACACCGAGGAACCGTGGCTATGGCATGCCCGGTTCGGCCATCTCAACTTCGACGCGCTTGGTTGGCTGGGGAAGATGGTCCGAGGGCTACCTCACATCGAGCACAGAGGCGAGCTATGTGATAGCTGCCTGGCCGGGAAGCAGAGGAGGCTGCCATTCCCAAAGGCGGCCAAGTATCATGTGATGGATGCTCTCGAGCTCATCCACGGCGATCTCTGCGGGCCAATCACGCCAGCCACAAATGGTGGTCGGTGGTGCTTCCTCCTGCTTGTGGATGATTGTAGTCGCTACATGTGGCTGCAACTCCTGACGAGCAAGAACAAAGTGGCGGCGGTCATCAAGAAGTTCAAGATGCACGCGGAGGCCAAGAGCGGCAAGAAGATGCGCGTGCTAAGGACTGATCGCAGCGGCGAATTCACTTCGGTGGAGTTCGCTGCATACTACGTGGATCAGGGTGTGGTGCGACAACACACGGCGCCATACTCACCATAATAGAATGGCGTGGTGGAGCGGCGGAACCAGGTGGTGGTCGGCATGGCTCGATCCATGATGAAGGCCAAGGGAATGCCGGCAAGGTTCTGGGGTGAACCGGTGACCACGGCGGTGTTTATCCTCAACCGCGCGCCCACCAATGCCCTAAAGGGTATGACACCGTTCAAAGCTTGGTATGGGCAGAAGCCGAGCGTGTCCTTCCTCTAGACATTTGGCTGCATCACCACGTCAGGAAGACGAAGCCGATCCTCGCCAAGCTGGAGGACAGGAGCACACCGATGGTGTTCCTAGGCTACGCGGAGGGTACCAAGGCATACCGGCTGTATGACCCACTCGAAGACAAGGTGCTTGTCTCGTGCGACATCGTGTTCGATGAGAAGGCGGATTGGGACTAGAACAGTCCTAGCACGGGGGAAGCTGGCGGCTTCACCAGCACCTTCATTGTCAAGCACTTGGTCATCCACGGTGGTGGAGACGCTGGGGAAGAGGTGTTGAGCACTCCGAGAGGGGTGCCGAGCACTTCGGGAGGGATGCCGAGCACTCCGAGAGGAGTGCCAAGCACTCATGGAGGGATGTCGAGCACTCTAGGAATGGTGCCGGGAGGATCTACAGTGGCGGCGACCACTCTAGGATGGGTGCCGAGCACTCCCATAGCGGAGCCAAGAGGTCCTGCAGTGGTGCCGACCACTCCAAGACTAAGGCTGAGCACTCCAGCAGTAGTGCCGAGCACTACAGGAATGGTGACGAGCTGTCCAGGAGTAGTGCTGAGCACTGCAACTAGGGTGCCGAGCACTCCTGTGGAACAGGGAACTCCATCGACGCCGATTGAGTTTGCCTCACCTCCAAGTGACATCACTGAGTTCATGGATGCCTTCCATGAAGGTGAGGAGGTGCGGTTCCACAGGCTGGACGATCTCGTTGGGGGCACAGGTCCCTTAGGCCTGGCGGGTAGGCTGCTCAATGACCCAGAGCTGCTGCTCGTCAGTGTAGAGGAACCACCCATGTTCACGCTAGCCGAGCGCGATGGAAACTGGCGACGGGCGATGCTAGAGGAGATGAAGGCGATCGAGGAAAATGAGACTTGATAGCTCGTCGATCCACCTCCAGGATGCCGTCCGATCAGCCTAAAGTGGGTGTACAAAGTCAAGCGGGACGAGCACGGCGCCATTGTCAAGCACAAGGCGCACCTCATGGCCCAAGGCTTTGTACAACGCGAGGGCATCAACTTCGAGGAAGTCTTTGCACCAGTAGCGCACATGGAGTCTGTCCATTTGCTACTAGCTTTGGCAGCAGGAAAGGACTGGCGCGTCCATCACCTGGATGTTAAATCGGCCTTCCTCAATGGTGAGCTGGCAGAAACGGTGTTCGTCAGGCAACCTCCGGGTTTCACCATCAAGGGAGCGGAGCACAGGGTGCTCCGACTACGCAAGGCGCTCTACGGGCTACGGCAGGCCCCACGAGCGTGGAACGCCAAGCTTGACACCACGTTGGGTGAGCTTGGGTTCACAAGATGTGCAACCGAGCACGCGCTCTACACGCAGCGATGGGGGAAGTATTAGGATATGTATAATCCCGCACTAATCATAGATTGAGTGTAATCCCATAGATAGACTAGCTGCCATATATAGCCTAGGATTCTTTCTATGTATAGCCTAGGATTGCTTCCTTGTACAGGGAATAGCTTTCCATATGTGTAATTTCCTTGTATGCATATTAGCTATATATGAAAGGCACCCCACCCACATTCAGTGTGTGGTGATTCCCTCCTTTCCTGTCTATTCTACAGGAAGGAGGAACTCGTCGTCGACGTGTATGTAGACGACTTGATCGTCACCGGCACGCGTGCGGAGGACATCGACAGCTTCAAACGTGAGATGGCGGCTCATTTTTGAATGAGCGATCTCGGCGCTGTCCTACTACCTCGGCATCGAGGTGAGACAGGGGAGGGAGGCACTCACGCTCGGTCAGAGCGCGTACGTCTTGAAGCTGTTGGAACGAAGCGGCATGGCTGAGTGCAAGCCATGCATGACTCCGATGGACGAGCGGCTGAAGCTGACGAATGCCAGTACCGTGGCGAAGGTGGATGCAACACTCTACCAGAGCATCGTCGATGGTCTGCGCTATCTAGTCCACACGAGGCCGGACAATGCATTCGCCGTGGGCTATGTCAGTCGCTTCATGGAGGATCCCAAAGAGGATCACTAGGCTGCAGTGAAGCGGCTACTGCGCTATATCAAGGAGACGGTGGATTAGGGGATCGTCTTTCCTAAGACCGGCGGAAGTAGGCTGCAGCTCACCGTCTTCAGCGATGCAGACATGGCGGGGTACATCGATGGACGGCGGAGCACCTCTGGCGTGCTCGTCTTCCTCGGGTCGGTTCCAATTTCATGGCTGCCACTGAAATAGAAGGTGGTGGCGCTATCTACGTGCGAGGCAGAGTACGTAGCGGTGGCCACAGCGGCGTGCCAAGTTGTGTGGCCGCGCCGGCTGCTAGGCGAGCTGACCGGTGTGGAAGCTCACCCACCAGTATTGATGGTGGACAACCAGCCCGCCATCGCCCTCACGAAGAATCTGGTTCTGCACGACCGGAGCAAGCACATCGATGTGAAGTTTCACTTTCTCAGGGACTGTGTCGATGGAGGGCAGATCGTCATCGAGTTCATCGAAACTAGCCGGCAACTCGCGGACGTCCTCACCAAGGCGCTTGGACGTCTTCGACTCACGGAACTGAAGGAGATGATCGGCATAGAGGGGGTTCAAGGGTTAGCAGTAGGATTAGGGGAAGAATTATTAGATAATCTACTGCTACCTTGTGTAAACATACGGCAGGAGAAGGCAGCGCCGAAAAGGCCCCCTGCTGTGGTACTGTAGCCGCTGCAGGGGCAGGCGGCGAACGGCTCACCTGCCACACTGTAGCCACATGCAGGGGCAGGCGCCAGAGTCAGCCATGCTATGTTATCTAGTCACTGTTGCAGCATGACAGTTATACTAGGACTAGATGGATAGAGTTGTATATATAGTTTACCACTACAACTCAATAAAGCAGTGAGTTCAGATTTGCCATCTCCTCTACAGGGCTCCGGCCAACACTGGTGCTCCTGTTGTGTGTGTATGCTCTGTTTTCCCTCCCTTCTTCTACCTTTAGCCATAAGGTGTGGTCGGACAACGTCCATCGTGGTCGGCAAGACCGGTGAGTGGTCGACTTACCTGAGCCGTGGTCGGCAAGACTGGTGAGAGGTCGACTCACCTGAGCCGGTGATCCTGTGTGGGCCAACATACTAGAACTAGCTAAGCAAAAAACTTGATGCGCGGGGTGCAGGTTCGTACAATCTGTTTGTTGCAATCTGAAAGTGAGACTTGACAATATAAATGCACTTCAATTACTGGTTCGATGGAAACATCTGGTGATCCAACCATGTCTTGGTTGCTAATATGATGAAGCTCATGCTGATCACGCTGCTTGCAGCATAATGGGTTTGGGCGAAACCATTGACTGCCAATGCTTTGAAAATTGTCCCAATGTTTACTATGGCATGGATCGGCAAATGGATCCCATGACGATGAGAAGTCTTCAATAGATAATTTAGTAAGTTCTCTCCTAATGATTTCAACCACAGTTTTGAAATGAGGCGCAAACAACTGCAAGTACTTAATTGTTATCGCAACTATGTCTGTACTCTCCAAAAGTTGTAGCATTATACTAAAGAAGTTATTCTCCGGTGCATTACTATCTTTCTGGACAAATACAAGGGAAGCCTCTGTTCCATGCTTTGCACCACTGAAGGGCACAAACCATATTAGAAACGAGGGGTACTCATCTCCCTGTACTATTTTACACTTCAGATCCTCGCCTGCAGAAAGGTGCCTGAGAAGGGAGTCAAAGGGCATCTGACGGTATGGTGTGCCACCAAGCGCTATGAATCTCAAGAACTCACTTGCACCATCTGCAAACCTCTCGAGTCGCCGAATAATAGCAGAGTTGTTACTTGATTCATCGTTACTAATAAATCCAGTGAAATATGAGGTGAATGACTTGGCAGCATGAACAATCCTTTTGGGAAATGAGGACCAGCTTACCTGCTGCCTGATCTCTTCCTCTTCTAGAGCACGCTGCTGGCATCTGTGAAGCATGCTGTCACACTCCTGAGCAGCGTGCTTAAGCTTCCTCTGCCACCGTAGCAGTGGCACGTGGTTGATTTTCCATCTGTCCGATATTTGGAGCACGACTTCCATCTTGATGTGTGCCATTTCCAATCTTTCTATGTTTTCTCTTCCCCATGACTTCTCATCCTGCGCAGTAACACTTGATATGATTCTACTCACTGTCTCTCCAATGATAACTGAACTCACCGACTCCGCCCAACTACTACAGCACATCACTGCCGGTTTGGGGAGTGACCCGGCAGTGATGTGCCCCATCACTGTCGGTTTACAAGCATAACCGGCAGTGATGAGCTACTGCTATAAAAGAGGCGCGGGTTGAAATTCTCCAAATTCATTTCAACCCACGCCAACCCCTCCCCCCACGCCGCTAGAGCACCACCCCGCGCCGGAGCACCGCCGCACTAGGTCCACCGCCCCACGCTGGAGCACCGCCCCATGCCATCCACCGCCCCAAGCCGGAGCACTGCGCCGTCTGTGCCAAGCCGGAGCACCGCGCCGTCCGTGCCTAGCCAAAGCACCGCGCCATCCGTCCCACCGCCGATGCCTTCCAAGCCGGAGCACCGCGCCGTCCATGCCAAGCCGAAGCACCATGCCACGTCGTCCACCGCCCCAAGCCGGAGCACCGCACCATCCGTGCCAAGCCGGAGCACCACGCCGTCCGGAGCACCATGCCGTCCGTCCCACCGCCGAGGCCTTCAGGAGCGCGCGGACAGCTACTTTCCTACCCCCACGGTGAGTGCATGGCTCACTGCCCACTACGTGTCTGATGAAATGTCCCACAACTACTTACTTGAATCAGTAGAGGCTTTTCATTTACCAAGTACTACAACTTATTGTTTGATATGATAATTTACTTGCCATAATTTATGTTACTGCTACTTTATTGCAATGCTAGCATATAGTTTGATCATGACTGTCTAGTCTGTAGTGCCACCGATGCTCAATGTTTTTGGATGTGAGGATGGAGTATATATATTTTAGACCTATAGAACTAATATATGTCCGAACTTGTCATGGAATTCTCCATGCTATCAACATAAAGATGCATAATTATTAACTTATGCAAGATTGCAAGTAATACATAGTTATGTAGCCTTGTGCATTAAACTGGGAATATTTTCCAACAATCCTATCTTATTATGAGTTTTTGCATGTCACTTTCCTAGGATAGTATGAGATGCATATTTGCCCCTACCAACCATGTAAGATTCAGATCAAAGTATCACTAATTTGGAAAGATGCTTACCTGCACTAATACTTGTGAAAGAACCTCGCGCTGATGGTTGGGGGATTTATAGTGAGACTGAAGACTCTGAGGCATCTCTGGGAGTATATCCAAAAGTCTTAAACTGGCTCTCTAAATCATCATTTGGTTTTTAACGAATAAAAAATATTCTTTATATCTTTCCTACATCTAACAACTATTACTGAGGCACGTGAATAGCTGTTTTCTAAACACTCCTATCTATGCAATGGTTGTGTGTTATTCATAAATATATTAAATTTTATAAGAATACATCATGTTTGAATGACAACCTAATTTACTTAAATGTATAGGCAACCATGACATGGTATGTAGTGCATGTTGGTCACATGCCTGGGATTTATCGAACCTAGGAAGATTGCTATGCACAAGTCAATCGGTACCCTGGTAATTTGCACAAAAAATACAACATAGAAGATGAAGCTTTGAGGCCTACTATAGTCATCCGGCATACCTTGCAAACCATGGGCAACCGGCCTACTATGGTCCAATGAATGCAAACCATGGCCATCCACTGGCACTGGAGATCGAAGAGAAGTCACCCGCCGGAGATGTGAAGATTAGACGAATTGCTCCTTAGTCTTGGAAAGATGTCATGCTTTTTATTTATGACTATGGTCATCGCTTTTCTTATTTGGAAGTTGATGTAGGCTTAGTTTCATAGAATAGTAGGTGGACTTTGTTGTATGTGGTCAATCAAATAATGAATTTATTCTAGGTGAACATATGCTATTATTTGACTTTGTTGTATGTGGACTTATTATTAGACTTTGTATTAAACATATTATATATATATATATGAACATATGCTATTAGTAGTTGTCCGTGGCCAAAACTAACCATGATCGTGTCACAACCATGACTCATCATCGCTTGTTACCTTGTCATCGAAGAACAGATCAGCAACAAGAAGCAGCTGATATCGCTGGGACGGGAGAGCCGCATGATCCAACAAACGGTGATTGTGTCAATCAGGTCGGTGAGAACGAGCAGCCATGGACCCCGTCCGGCCTGATCGATCTAGGTCAAAATGACCAAGATGGCTAGGTAACTTTGGTATCATGTGACTATGTAGCCACACACACTAATCAATTGAGAGGGTCATAGCTTACTTGGTGTCTCTCGAAGGAGCCTCCGTCGGCCGAGGAGCTAGAGGGTTCGGGTAGCAGGAAGGCCAGATCCAAGCGAGGCATGTCAAAGATTCCTGTTGGTAGGAATGCACACTGGCACATTACTGAGTTCGATGAATTCGGGGATCCACTCTCACCGCCTATAGCTTTGACCAAATACAAGACTATCCTCGGGTTACTTAGTAGGGACTTCATCCCGATTAGGTACAGGAACTTGATTGGGAAAGATGATGACCTGTGGAGGGTTCCCGAAAGTGAGAAGGATCACATATGGGATGTCAAGATCCTAGAGTATTTCACTTTCCCAACCGAGTATGACAGGGAGTTAGTCAAGAAAAAAGCAAAAGAAATCATGGGGACATGCTTCAATAATTTCAAGGGGACATTGTACAAGAATTTTGTCCTCCAAAATAAAGAGCCAGATTTCGATGGTGGACAGTTTAGCAAGCAGAAGGACTTCTGGCAGGATTTCAAGGAATACAGATTTATCCGAGGGGTACTTAGCACTGAGCAGGAAGAATAAGGAGAACTAGCAGAAAGCGACGAATCCTCATCATCTCGGCTCTCGTGGCTACTCTAAAAAGATGCCAGAATTTGAAGCAGAACTTCAAAAGATGGATCGCCTTGCTGAGGAAGGCGTTCAGGTTGAGACCGCCGATTGGGAGGCTAGATCGGTATTATACTGTATGGGGAGGAATGTACGGCATGCCGAGGATGGGAGCTTTAGCTCCACAAATCAACCATGAGCGAACTCATCCAAAGGATCTCCCTAGTAACTGAGGTGATGAGGCAAGGGACTCGAACTTCTAATAGGGAGAAAGACGTGCTCACCCAAGCACTCAGAACCAAGGAGCACCCTGGTCGCACTAGAGGAGCCGGTGTTGTTCCTTGGAAACTAGCATTCCCCCAAGAATCTAACACTTACCAAGGAGCCGCTCGAGGGGTAGAGCGGAACATGAGGCAGAGTATTTGAGGCAACTAAAAGAGATGGAAGACAGAATGGAAGCACGGATTGAGGCGACTATTGAAGTGTGAGTCGAGCAAATTTTGCTGTCAAAGGGGTCAGGAGTACCACAAAACCCTACTCCTATTGCCTTTAGCCCATAGTTTAGGGGTCGCAGCAGCTGCAGATCGACCCCGCTCTACGAAGAAGAGGCGAATGTGCCTCATCCGGTGGACGACATCACTGAACCCATCAATGTCAAGTTGTACATCCATCAAGAATGGACAAAGGACAAGGTGGTGCTCGGCCAGGCCTGGCCTGCTGGAGACGGGATAATTAATGGCTGCCCAATTCCATAGGGGTACGCTCACATCACCATTGATAGAATACTTGATAAGAAGTATAACAAGATACCCATTGAGTACCCCGTAGCGAAAGACAGACCGAAACTTGGTCAAAACAAGGGCTCTCAAGTGGCCTGGCGCAAGCGCTTCATTAAGCTTGACCACCAATTGTCCTCTGATAATGAGGACAACAGCGAGTCTTCGCCCACCCATGATGATCACTCACCATCTCCCAACAGAAATCACTCCCCTCCTCATCCGGAGCCATCACCCCCGAGAAGACAGAGGTCTCCTTTTATTCCTCCTCATCCGACTCCATCTTCATCAGCCCCGAGAAAAGAGACTCCTCCTCCTCCTCCATCTTCATCAGCGCCAGGAAAATAGATTTCTCATCGTCATCCTCCTCCTCCTCCTCCTCCACCTCAGCCCAAAACAAGATCAAGGACATCCTCACAGTCGCAGAAAAGGTCCTTGGATTCGGTCGCTAATGCTCCCAAAGTGGACCAACAGAAAAGAAAAAGGCCATTCAGTGGCAGCGTTACCATCTTGATGAAAGAAAAATTTACAGCACACATCTCGAAGGAAGATTGTGTTAGTTTCTTCAATCTCTGTGCCTCACTACCTTCATTTTTGTTGAAGTCCGAATTCGAAAGGCAAACACAAAATAAATACGCTACAACAAGAGACGAAAAAATACACAATAAAGATTTAAGGAACATACAAAAGTACGTCGAAGACAACCCAGGATTAACCATGGAAGAGGCCACGAACATCTATTATGATGTATAAGGGACGGGAACACCAGCAATGAAGTATGAAAGGGGCAATCTTTTGGTTCCCGATCATGAGTATAAAAATCTAACAACATATATGCGCCAGTTACATGAATATTACATGGCTCAAGCAACAGAGACGGACGACTATGGTTTTGAGGCTATTATCCGTTCGCCACATGTTTTCAATTATCCTAAAGAAGAGAAGTTCTATGTCGAGTGGGAGTGCTTGTTCTAGCTATACTAGAAACACGATCTCAATGTTCAAATGTTGACGCTGTGAACTATGTAAGTACCCTACACGCATGATATTACAATTAACTAATCTCTCGAGACACAAATTGTTGACTTTTGAGCACTTCCCATGATTTTATGTAGGTGTATAGCAAAATTTTGCATTGTAAAAAGCAAATGGGATTACATAGGCTTCTTGGACCCCTTGTGAGTCAATGAGAGGACATGTCTAGGCCTCTATGGATGTGACGTGGAAGACCTGAAATAGAGATTGATTGCTATTTTCGACGAATTCACGATGAAGAAGAAAACCCACATACTTCTAGCCTACAACTGCGAGTATGTGTTCTCGGCTTTTAATTTTATGCTTCTTTTTTTGTTAAGATTATTCGATAA